TCTTTGCTGGCAGAGATGATGATGATGATGATGATGATGGATACTGGATACTTGATACTCGAGGAGTCAGCCCGAACACGAGCAGAACAAAAGCTATATAGCGATGCCCTTGAGTGATCTATGCAAAGCAAAAGGCGGAGCTCTGGAGCCAAGATCGGAGGATCGCTGGTGATCGTGGTTATGCGGTTGGTTACAGCTAAATGAAAGGTAGCCGTTGCCAGTAGCTCCCTGGTAGCCGACTAGTCATCAAAACTGGGAAATTAGCATAGACAGTTTCCAAGCCAGCCATTGCCAAAGTGCGTAGAAAATCATGAAAATGGCTACTGGAGTGGCCAACAAGCCAATGCCAGCAGCACGATGCAGATGAATATGCACACGGCAGAAAATATTGTTTCAAATAAATTTTTGTATAAAAAATAAATACAAATTAGAAATTCAATTATTATTTTCTAAGTCCAAAAATATTATTTTTGCATTTTTTGAATGGAAGAATCAAATAAGCTTTACTATATTATAAAATTTACAATTCTACCAAAATATTTCAAAAAATCAGTATAAATTATTTTTATTTTTATAAATTTTGTTTAAAGTTTTGATATATTTTATATATTAAGCCATAAAATTGACTGAGTTAACCACTATTTTCTCTGTGCAGATGACTTGGCCTCGAAGCCAGCGGCATTAATTTCATACAATTAATGGAAATTATATGAAATTATGAGTGGAACATTGAAATTCCTTGTGAACATCACCCGGGACAACAACAAACCAGACGAAATTCACTGGCCGCCTTCAAACGGAAAACTCAGAGCCCTAACTTGGGTGGCAATTTTCATTTAGACACAAGCCAACGCAAATGAAAGAAAATTAAATTTTTCACTGTCTTCTTAATTGAAACATTAGCCAAACATTTTAGCTATTCCCACTCCCCAGAAACTGCTCCACTCCTCTGTTCATTTACATTCAAATTAACTCGTAATGAAAACGAGTCGAGAAACTTTGACTTTGTCTGGTTGCTTTTCCGTGGGGGTTGTGGCATTTAATTAGTTGCTCTGATTGTTGCTCCACCGTTGTCCCGTTGTTGTTTCCCTTGTTTATTACTATTTGCTGGCCATTTCTTCTCGGCTTAGTCAGTTCCGAATTATCCACGCCCAAGAATCTCTGTTTGTTTTGACACTCGTTTGATGTTCATTTGCTGCCATTTGATGGCATTTCGCAGTTACCTATTCCATTGAAAGGACAATCAGAATTACGGGGTGGAAAACTGACCTCTGGAAAAGCTATCAAATGGAAAACAATGTCGTCATTGCTGTCACTTTTAATAGTTTTGATTTTTAAGGGTGAAATCGTTTGTTAATTAAGAAATTTAAAGCATGGCACTGAGGAATACTTCTAAAAATTTGTATCCAACTATATTTATAGTTTAACAGTCCGTTTAAATTGATTGATAATTATATTAAAGATTCAAAAACTCATAGTAAAATCTTCTTCATTTCATTCTGTCAACACAAAATATTTTTCTTCTCAAACCCTATTAATTTTTTTATGAAATTTCGGGGTTGTCATTGATACATTTTTGGATTGCACTTGCCACAACCCGTTCCCACCCACTCCCTCGCCAAAAAAGGCCACACCTTACCATCCCCTGCCATTCGGTTTTTCCACAACCAATTTCTCCGGGCGCAATGTTGCCGTGGCAAAAAGAAAACAAGAAAACAGCAACACGTGCCCCTTTTAATTAAAATAAATAAATAGGCGCAAACACATAAATAAACAGCACACCGAGCCATAGAATAACTACAATACCAAATAGAGATGATGGAGACGTTCTCAGTTACTCTGTCAAAAAAGTTATACTTCGTCCTTGATATTCAATTTCATGCATTTATTTGTAAGAGCGGGTTGTGCCCCGGGACAAAGGAGTTTTTGGAAGGGGTGGGTACAACCCCCATCTTTATATAAGAACTCACGATTTGGGGCGCCTTGGGCGATGTTATGCCTTTTTTTTGGTGCTCTGTATTCTTTGTGAAACGTGCGCATTTGAATTTAAGGCGAATTATTATTTAGTCGCGGCGAGACGCAAAACGTTTCTAGGAATAAAACATTTCCAACAACTTAATTTTTGTATACCGCAATTTGCATGTGGAATAAATCAAATGTAAAACGCATAAAAGACTCGGGAACACCCCCAAATAAAGCTCAGACATGAGTTATGGGTTAAGGTGGAGCAGGAACAGTAGCCTTTGTCTGGCCAGGATTATGACCATTTATTTGCCTGTCCGTCCTGAAAATGGTAAATACTCTTGTGGTGGGGCGAAAGTTTTAGCCTAAGGCGATTTTCCTCGGTACAAGAAATCAAAATCAATGAAGATTTCGGCGCACAATGGAGAGCAGTATTAACAAAAAGAGTAGCCCGGCACCCGTTCGGTTTCCACTTTCTGTGGCTTTTTGGGAACGAGTCCTTGGCTTCCTGAACTTTGCTGGCGTCCTTTCATGGATTATGCATCGCTTAGCTCTAGTAAAACTTTTCAACCAACTCAAAATTATTTATTACTAATTGAAGGAGCAGCATTGGCAAGTCAAAGAATGACTTTTCCTTCGGTTTTTAATTTGATTATTTTTCGGAAAACATTTTCCACAGAGTTCAATTTGTCAAAGTTAATTAAACCGAGTTAAGAACTTTATTGAGCATTTCCTCCTCGCAACAAATGAAAACCAATCAAATTTAATGCAAACTTACTTCGATGGTAAAGGAGGTAGGTGGAGAACAGAAAATATATCTGGTCCGGCCATTGGGCAAGACATAATAATAATTTATGTTATGGCAGCGCCAGAAGATCTGCAAACGATATATGTATGCTCCATGCTCACCGGCATTTTTTATATACCCTTTTTGTAAAGGAGATTGTTGGTGTTTTATGAAACATTTAAGCAAATTAAATCATTTTTATTTAAAGAGCATAGGTATAAAAATAGCTTAATGTACATATATACAATTGCAGGTGCTTATGGAAAATTAGCCTATTTCAAGAGACTAGAAGTTACTTTCAGTTTACAAATGAGTCATCATAAAAGCCGAAAAATTCCGGTTATTAAAAGATTTTTAAGCCCATCCTGTTAGCCTTAAAATATAATCTTAATTTATTCATTCACTTCAGGGTATTCATTCTTCATTCTTCTGGTCATCGCAGCTCCTTAATATTTTTCATATAAATGCACAAGTTTTTGATTGATTCAATCAAAACGAAGCAAAACGCAAACGGCGATCAAGAAGTGGACTTGAAGCTAAAGCCAACGCCAAGTTGGAGGCATCAGGTTTTCTGCATGCCTGTCACGTAATTTATTGATTTAGCTCTTGGGAATACGAGAGACTGTTCGTGGATCGTGAAAAATGAAATGTTTGCCACTGCCAGCAGCAGAAGCAGCAGCTTTAAAAAGAACACTGCCATTTAATTCTTAGCCAAAAACTTGTCTTTTTTTAAGGACTTTAAATATCAGTGAAAAACTAATGTTTACTGACATTTTCTATCTATTTTTGGTTTATCTTTCGAAAGCAATAAAAGATATATTTATATTTTCATAAGATGCTTGAATTTAATATTGAATTTAAAATATATAAACAATTTCTCTGAGTGCACGCTTGGCAGACTTGCAAACTGGCATGATGGCTGACCGAACTGGACTGGGGCTGATTGGTTGTCGATCGATTTGGCTGCCGGCCAGACAAATTCAAATGCATTGGCCCCGATCTGTGAATGCAACTGCTACAGGAGGAGGGCCGATCATTGAGGGAAGTGCGGGGATCAAAGGCACTTACGCATGTACGCCTCAAACGATACACAAAACTTGATCATCGGCGGCCACAGCGATCATCGATCAACAGACAGACAGACATCCCAACCCAGCCCATGCCTTACCATACCATCCTGGGCTCTCTGAGATAATGGCCGGCTTGCCATTTTGCATTTTTGCATTTGTAATGAAACTGAAAACCAGAATGAATTGTAATTTGTTCGGAATCGAGCAGAAGCAGCCACTCCAAGTCCCAGTTTTGAGCACAAGATATGAGATCAACAGCGCTCCAGACTTAAATTGCACTTCAGGATGTTCAGAGTGGGGATAAGGTTTGAAGATGAAGTGGGAAGAGCTCGATATGAATAAAACTGGGTAGGAGGCACAGTGGGTTGAATCTTTACAGAACCCTTTGCTCCTTAAAAGACCTCTTTACAAAGTTAGTTGCTATTTAGCTAGTGATTTCCTAAATGGTATACTGGTTGCTTTATCATGTTCTATATCAGAATATTATTATGCTATTCGTATTAGTTTTCATTTAACTCGAAATTAAGTCTTTAATACCACAATCCAACCCACTGTCCCATTTTTATGCCAACCTTTCCCAGATCGCTTCCATTCGCTTCTCCATCTTGGGCCTGCGATTCGTATGTAAAATCGCGCATTTTCAACTGTTATCAAACCAACTCTTTTTGCCGCTGCTTTTACATACAGATCATCTTGCGCTCCCCAAAAACCCCCTTCGGTCCTCAATAAAAAATAACTCCACCGAAGGCAACGCAAATGGCAATTAAAGTCATTTTGTTTGCAGTTTTTTGTTTTTGGTTGTTTTTTGCGTATGATTTTTTTGAGTTTTGTTGCAAGGCGAATTCAAAATGGTTTAATATTATGCACAAATCGGGCGAGTTGCGTAGTAAATTATGGACCATTAACCGAACAGGTAAAGCGAAAAGCGAGCTACTACGGACTGCAAGGGGTTTACCTGACCGCCTGGCACCGGGTAATCAAATTTGTGTAAAAATGGCAGCCGGCCTTTGGGTGTAAAATGGGGGGCGGTGTCTTTGGCTAGAAGGAAAAACGCAGCAACAACATCACTTCCAGGGAAATGCGTGCTACCTGTAGGAAATCCAGACCGAAAGAGAAAGATGTAGTAGTAAAGTAGAGGTGCTGCCTCAGGAGCAGCTGCTGTATCGTAAAAACTAATTTTAAAATCCTCTGCTTTAGCCTTACAGCGATCAGTCTGCTCGGGAGTACAGCCTAAAGATGTGGTTGCTACTTATTTTCCTGTCTTTAATTGCGCCCTCATGGCAGGAAAATGCCACAGTGATCACAAATAGTTATGTGACTAAAGCGGGCTGTGAAGCGTTGGTCAAGGAGCCAAATCTCTGTGAGTGCCAGGATCAGGAGATCAAGTGCGAAAACCTCCAGTTACTTAGTGATACTGTGCAGTTATTTGGCATCACTTGCAGCATCTTTGATGCCAGAGGTTACGGCTATATTCCCCCTCTACAAGTCGGCAATATCCAGTCATTGATCATTCAAAACTGCGCCATACCTAATGCCCAGAGTATCAAATACGTACTCAGTAAACTTGGTGTACATAACTACACTGAACTGGAAATCTTCAATCACTTTGATCCCAAGAAACCCGATCGAGGAGAGGTTCTCCAGCAGCATTACACGGACCACGAGGCCCTCAAAAAGGTTTCGATCATTGGTTTTAAGTCCACATTGCCACCGAACTTTCTGGAAAACCTTTCGGAACTTAAGCAACTGTCATTGAAAGGAAGTAGTGACTTACCCGGTTCCATTCTGCATCCCCTACAAAATCTTACGCATCTGGAAATTGTAGTCAAGAACTTGGCCAAGGTATCTGGTGAGATATTTGCCAAACAGTCTAAGCTAAAGAACCTGATGATCGACTGCGATGCCAAGAATAGCAGCGTAGAAATGTCTGCTTTTGGACCACAGGAACTCTGGCACATGACCGATCTTCAGTCGATTGAGATCTTCAACTGCGGCGATAATGTCCCAACTGAATTGTTCTGGATGTCGGAAAAGTTGGCCTACATTGGAATAAGGAGTAACATTAGTTATTTGAGCAAGGACTTTCCTTAAGGTTCAGAAACATCTACTTACTTTGAAGATTGGAGAAGAACAATATTGCCAGGCTGCCTGATCAGCTATTCCGGAACACTCCTCTGCTTCTGGAGATACATTTGGCATTCAACAACTTGGATCGCATTCAGAGGTGAGTTAGATTAAACTATTAAAAAACAAAACATACTAAAATCATAAATATGATCTCTATTTCCAGCGGTCTCTTTGATAATTTAAGGAACCTACAGGTGCTAAACTTGGAGCACAATCCGATAACCACCATAGCTCTAAATGCCTTTACATCCATACCAACGGCCCATATCTATGTGGGCAAACTCTTTAGGGCAGCGAAAAATAATGCCGACTGGGCCCGATCCACCAATGCCACAATCTGCGAGGAGGAGCATATCTTCGGGGTGTGCATCTACTGCAAACGAGATGAGTATTTGGACCACTTTGCCGACTCGGAGAACTGCAACAAGCCCAATCCAAAGATGAAGGATGTGCTCTCCAAGAAGGCCTTAGAATATCAGCTGAATAAAGACGGTCCCTGGAAGGAATGTAAGTAACGAAAAAATACAACTTTCTATCCCACTCCAATAATTTTTCGCCAATAATTTATATTAAATTTGACATGCGACTCCCCTTCCCAACTTCGACATTGCCAAATTGAAAACGAAATAAAAAGCAGAAAGCGCATGAAATACAAACAATATTAATATTTGTAGCTCGCTTTCAACGCCGACGATGATAAGAGAGGAAACTTGGAGTTTGGTGCGAAGTCAACAAAACATTTTTATATATAAATCATGAAAGAAAACAATTTATCTTTTGATTTGTAGCCAAGGGGTGGGTTGCTACTAAAATGAACGAAAACTTTTTCCAGGGAGCAACATGTCAAATGTAATAAGGCCTAATGTTGTCTTCCTTTATTTTTCGGAGGGCTGCTGAAATGGATTGTAAGTGAAAGTCAGATGAGGAAAATCAAGTGAATTATGCGGGTTGCGAGGGGAAAGCGAAAAAGCATTTTAGATTGCTATCAGTTATGATACAAAAAATCCAGATACTGACAGAAGCAACAGGGAAGTAAGAAAGTCATGAGCAAATGTTTCAGTGTTATGCAAATCTCATCAGACATTTCTTATTGTTGATCTAACATGTAACACTGTGCAGTGAAGAGGGGGTCCCACAGAGCTGAAAACTCATAAATGTCAAGGATATCACATGTTGAACTCTGTGGGCTGCCAGCGATGGCAGTAGATTGAACAGCAATCAAATGTAAATTTCTATAAACGGGAAATAAGTTCTTTGGGGTGGCGTCAAGACTTCTGAGCGTCCTAAATGGGTGCTTAAAATAATTCAATTGATAAAAATACCTATAAATATTTATATAAAATGAAATATTCTTACATGTATATTAAATACAATGATATAACCCCAATAACCCCTTTCTCAAGTCGTTTAAAATACAATATGAATATAATTTAGGTGAACTTCTAGTTTTAACGTCTTCCTTAGTTGTCACCCATTTCAAGAACCTAATGGGTGGCATTATAGAGTCTGTTTTTTTTTTTTGCATTTTTCTGAACTCTTTTTGATGCGCTTTAATGCAGGCCATAACTCATGGCCTCACTTACTCAGTCAGTCGTCGGCGGACTTCTAATCTCAATGTGCTGTTTGGGTTGCCACTAATAAAACGCACGACAAACTGACACCACTGGAATCGAAGTGAACCACTGACCAACCACTTTGGACGCCACCGAACACCACCGACATCCACCGGCGTTCCACATGCATTTGTGCTGCCGTTGATACACGACATTGGATTCGGGTTTCTTTATAGGTTTTTTTTTTTTTTAAGCTTTCTGCGTTTCCGATAGACATAATTTGTCGGACATGAGTTGACACTGACATTCGAGGGGTCCGTCCAAATAAAGCAGAACGATTAATGTTCTAGAGATGGGGGATTTTGAGATTAAGTTCAGGGATTAGTAGGGGTATTTATACAATAAAAATGCATACATAAAAGCATAATATTTAATAATAACATATAGCTGTATAGGAATAAGAATGAAATCAATTGAATTCCTTTGTCTTCTTAAACACTCAATCGTGCTTTATGTGAAACTAATTTAGTGGTACCCCCAAAAATTGCTTTGAACCAAGCTAACTAATCCAATCATTTGGACACTCCGCCCTAGAGGAGTCGCGCGACCTGCAAACATAACCCAAAGCCAGAGGCATAGCCAAAGGGGCTCCCCCTTATCTTTAAAATTCCGAAAATATAATGGCATTTAAGGCATATATTCCATTTCAAACCCCCTTAGCATTCTATAGACCCACCTCTGCATACAACTGACCAGCGACAACAACTGGCCACCAGACATCGACTGGCTCTCCACAAATGCAGCTTTTGTACTTCTCGTATCTGGCGGATACATTTCAAAGCAATGCCAACTGGGCTGCGTTTATCGCCTGGTAGCCTTGCAAACCGAGACCCAGACTCACACTCCGGTCTCCCAGAGCTAAGCCAAAAAACAAACAGAGAACCAAAAGAAAAGAGTGAGGGCCGTATGCGAAATTTATGGGCATCAACGTTCAGTTTGAAGCGGGATCCCGAAAAACCTGGACTCCGGTCCCGCGCAGACTAGCTCCAGTGGCTGGCTTGGCATTTGTAATGCCTAAATGCTTTGGCGAATTGATTTTTGGTGTAAACGATGTGCAATTTTAATGGATTGTGCTGCCAGATAAGCCAAAGGAGGCTGCATCGGAGAGTCGGGGTCTATCCTCTCCATCCATATGTATAGTGAGGGTATCCCACTTGGACGATCCGATCCGAGCCGTGGCTTGTCGTGTGTCGTTTAATTGAATTTGTTTTGATTAGTTGGTCGATGTGTGTGCGGGCATTTTGCAAATGCAGCTTTAAGTGTTCCATCGTTGAAGTTTTAAACTCACAAAAAAACAAGGGCATACCAACAAGGAATGGAGAAAAAACCTTAAGGCCTTGAGGCATCCAGCTAAATTGACATTGTTCATAGTCATAACATGACGGAAAAATGTCAATTTAAATATTTGCAAATATTTTAACAAGGCATGCAGACCCAGGAGCGCTAATTTCGCATGTGCGAAATAAAAATTTTGCACATTTTTTTGCGCCGAAAAACAAGAGAGCCCGAAAAAGGTGCAACAACTTTTTTAATTAATTAAGGGGAATGATAACGAAAGCGCCGCGGGAGGGCTAAAGAAAATATTATGCAAAAATTGTGAGTGAAGGGAATGTGAAAAATGTTCGGGTTGAAAAAGGTTAACACGGCAGAACTCCTTTCTGTTCAAACTGTGAACATTGTTAAGAATTTTTTAAAGTATGTATTTTGAAAGCCCTAAGTTTGATATATTAATTCTAAATACGTAACAAACCAAATTTCAATATGACCATGGTAGGCTATGAAAAATTAGGTATAAAAGCTTAGCGATAAACGTTCCCACTTTCAAATCAATTCTCGAAGTGCACTGACGTTAGCAAAAATCCGGAAGAAAAAAAAAATTACGATGAACCAAGCTGAAGCTAAAAGCCAATCTATCGTCTCTACCGACTCCGCCAAGTCTTCGATGGAGGCCACTGAAGTCCAAGAGCATCAGGTTCCTCCGGTGAGTGATAACAACCCACTGGCTCCATTGGCTTCCGGCACTGCCTTCAATATGCCAAAGCCAATTATCGTCAATGAAGAGCCCATTGATGGGTTGTCCGAGAAAGCGGGACCCAACAAGGATCCTTCCGAAAAGAACAAAGAGAAGAGCAGCCGAATTCGAGGCAAGTTTTCCCTCAAGAATATCTTCAAGCCATCTGAACGCAATCGGATCAAAAACCTGCGCCGAAACTTTCAGTTACGTAAGACTATGGTGCCGAAGAACGCAATAATGTGCTTACACGAGATGAAGGACGTGAAGATTGGCGATGTTGTCATCGTCAAATCTCCGGACGGAACATTCGTAGCCACAGTCATGGTCAATTCAAAAAAGTACGTAGGCCAGGGTTTTACTAAGTCGTGTGCCAAAAACGCTGCCTTCGAAAGGGCAATGCGTGACGTCATTATTGCCAAGATGAGTCCGAAGCCGGCCAAGCTTCAGAGAAAGCCCAACGAAACTAACAAGGCAGAAGATGAGGAATTCCATGAAGAGGTTTCTATGATAAACCTAGGATCGTATGCCATTTTCAAGCTGTTCCAGCGATGGGAGCGCAAGGGCTTTGACGTTCCTTGGGTTCGTGTACGGGCTAATGACGTCCACACATCCATCCAGCTCCCAAGATACCAAAGAAGCCAAAAAATTCAGGAGAAGGCACTGAGTTGCCCTCCGGCTCTGTGGGCATTGATGCAGCCACTGGCGAAAAGCCCAATGTGGTGGAAAATATGGAAGCCACGGTGGATAAGGTATTTACCGCTAAGGGCAAATCCAAGAAGGCTGCTCGCCGACATTTGGCCATTGATGCACCCACTGGCGAAGAGCAAAAAATTGAAGCCATGGAGAACAACAAAGTGTCCGCCGCTAAGCGAAAATCGAAGAAGGTTGCTCGCCGCGATGTGGGTATTGGTTCACCCACTGGCGAACAGGCCACTGTGGTGCAAAAAATGGAAGACATTGTGGACAACAAGGTGTCTATTGCCAAGGGAGAATTGAAGAATGTTGCTCGCCACGATGAGGAAGTTGAAGCATCCAACGTTCTGTTTGAAACCAACGGTGAGACTTGATCTAAAAAAATTTATGTACGCCAATTAACGCAAAATGCTCATCGATTTTTGAGATTTCTAAATCACTTCTTAAAGCTCTTAAAGCTCAATTTCCTTTAAACAAATTTGCAAAAACTTAAGCCTCTCTGAATATACAATCCCATTGATATGCTTTACTATGAATATAGGCGAAAGCAGCAATTTCTGTAGGAAAAATTCAATTCCAGTTGAAATTTAAAATTGTAGAACCATGAATTTTCCTTCAAATTTCAAATGACCCCAAACCCGAGGCAAATCAAATTCCAAACTCCATTCACAAGTCAATTAGACAGTGAGAAACCAAACACAGAATGCCATATAGCCCCCGAGGGGTCAATTCGCCATCTCCATTTGAATGACAGGCGGCAGTGCAGTTAACTTGTTGATTTTGCCACAAAAAGGGTTTGAGTTCTATTGAGGGGGGATAAGGTTAAGACCCAGCTGGAGAATTTCAATTGTTTATGCGTAAAAGTCAATTTGTGGAGCGAAACTCGAGTCGTAGGCAATTTGTGTTGGGAGTCTGTGTATGCATTTCAATTAGAAAAAGATTGACAGCTAAGCTTGGGGATTGCAAGTGGTGTGGGGACAGAACAATTGGTGTATCCTCGTATCCTGCACTTGCACTCGCACTTGCACTGACCCATAAGGTTATGCACTTGGCTTGTGGTTTTCAAATTTAATTGAATTTAATTGATTCGGTTTAGGAACTGAGGGGAGTCTGTGTGCACTCACATTGTGGGGGTGGCTTTTGGGTATATAGGGGAGTCGGGAATTATACGGCGGGGTGGGGCAACATTTTAAAGTTGGACTCTACTTTGGCCGGTTAAATGTTGCATGACTTCCAGAGGCTCGCAGTTAGTAGCAGTGAAAAATTGCAGCTGTCAGCGTTGGCCAGAAAAATGATTTGTTGATTTTGTTTCTGGGTTTGAGGAGCTCGTGGGGTTGCATAAATCATAAAACGCTTTACATATTGCATACATATTGGATGGCAGCTCATACTTGCTTCATGTATGCAATTAAACTTAATATAAATGTCTGGTAATTATTGTGTCTGGCTTGCATGAGCTGCACAGACGCTTTAACTTATAATTGACTCAACAAGCTTACCAAAAAACGTATCTAATTTAATAATCTTGCACTTTCAGATGCCGAGATGCAAGAAAAACCCTAAGGTCCCAAACGCTTCACTGGGATGTTACGCATCAGCACACTAGCAACCATATGGATTTATGATTTTTTATGCTTACAACAACTATGAGACTAAAATAAACTGAAATGAGAGTGAGCATAGAATAAAGTGTTTCATTTTTCTTGGTTGGTTTAATGGGAAGTTTCTTTTTCTGGATAAAACTAAAAAAAGATATAAATTTATCGAAATTTCTGGTTCTCGATAATTCCAGTGTAACTATCAAAGAGCCCCCAAAACATGGGTGAGTATCTTCATGCAATCATAGCTATTAGCCCTGCAGAAAAGCAAACGACACACAATGGCATTCCATTTGCTATCCGTGGCAGGAGTATGGAACTAATATTTGCCAAAAATGCCAAAACAAAACGACTGGCATAAAAATCACAATAAAACAAAACAGAACAGAAACAACAGGATCCTGGAGCCCAAAGGCGACTATCGTACACATGTAGCTTTAGCAATGGAAATGGAAATAGGTGGGTGGGTGTTAAAGGCTGGGAGAAATGGGTGGTTGAGAATCCTGAAAGCTTTCTCCAGTATCGCGCCTTTTGTGTGCGATGTGTGTTTACATGGTGATTTTTTGTTGGCACGCGATATCCTTTTTGCCGTCGCCCTGGATGTTTACCTTTCCAGTGCCACCCCCTCCCCATATTAGTTCCCTTGTGTGTGTTTGCTCCTTTCTCGCTGTCTGTCATATATGAGAACTATGAAATAACTGGCAAACATTCAACTATTGTTTGCATTAGTTGGTCCTTTTCAGCTTTTCGGTTTGCCCAAATGCCCCGCATAATTGTTGCCGCTGCATTGTTCATCATCACACAATGGGAAAACACCGAGGAACGCAGGCAACAATAACAACATTTGTCGTTAGTTATTTATTTGGATTTATGACCAACACACTGGAGTTAATTATTGGGTGAATGAATTAACTACAAGCGGTACATCGATCAAATAAAAATCATTTTGAATCATTCAAATAAATCTTGGTTTCACAACATTTGCATCATAAAATACAATCGCTTAAAAATATGGTTAAATTCGTGGACTTTTTTCAGTTTAAAATGTGTTTTAATGGACTCATTTGACCATAAGTACATCGCATTTTCATACTTCAGCACATTTAATTCTTTGACTGCCGGGTGCACCTGAAGGCCAGTGGAATATTGCAATTGCAGGAGGCGTCCTCGTTCTTTGTCGGTGTCATGTCTTTATTGCGGGATGCAAACAGCAACGGCAAACAACGAAACAGCCAACAGGAACAACAACAGCAGCTGTAAATTTATGCACGCACATGCAGCTGGCTGCATTTTTTGCAAGGCCCTACTGTTGCATGTTGCCGCCTTTTTGGGGCGTTTTTCCGCAATGTTGCGAATGTTGCAGGTGCAATAGCAGCAGCAGCGGCAGCACGTGGCATGTGCAACAATGATGTCAAACAAAATATGCAGTTGCTGTAGATCTAAGGAGCTGGGTCTGGGGGTGTCCAAACAGATACATTTCTGCCTTGATTGGGTTGTCACCACGCGTTGTCGCGGGTCCGGAAAAAAAATTCAAATGCCTGTCTTTGGTATTTTTTCGTTGCTAAAAAATTCAATGAATATGTTTGGCTTGCAAGTGGGTGTTGGTATAAAAAGTGTGTTAATTTACAAGAGGTTGGAAAATGACTCGGTTGATTACAATTTGTGTTAAAAAAGATTCAAAGATTATTGAAAAAAAAATATCAATCTTCCTTAAACATAATTCCATTTCGGACCACAACTCGCATTACGTCGATCTCCTAATATTGACTTCAGCCCAACCGCCCAGCCACTTAGCCGGGCTTTAATAAATAGCCCGAAGGACTTCCAGCCCAGCCATCGAACAACGACAAATCACATGAATAATGCAGGCTGTTTACTAGCCACCACACCCACTCGCCAATAATCAACGCCTAAGCATCGAAATTAGCGCAAACAACAATTAAAAATGCTTGAACGCATTTAATTATTTTGTTGATTGTTTGTGCAAATATGTATGTTGGAATCAGAAAAACTAATCAAAAATTCAATAGAAACATACATTTTCCGCAAATTAATTAAAATTATCGAGGCGAACGGACAAATCAAGAGCACATAAAAAATCGGCAGTAAAATAACAAATGGCAGAGCAAAAAGCAACTAATTAATGAGTTGATTAATAAACAATTAGATGTCGGAGCTGGGAAAATAGTTTCCAAATCGATGGCAATTTATGAGCTGGTAATTGACGCCCACACACACGAAAAAGCGGCCCCATAACTCAGCTCTTTGGCCAAGTGGCGACTGTTGTAAATCAAGTGAGCCCGAGCCAGTGAGCCAACTTGTTTGTACTTTTTTTTTTAGTTTTTTCTCCTTTATTTTTTTGGCATGCAAACTTGGCCCAGCTGGAGTTGAAAAGTCTGGAAAGAGCAAAAAAAAAAAAAATAAGAAAAGGCAGTATGCCTCTGCCCACTGTCAGATCCCCTGGCTAGATACCCGAAATTTTTTTTAGTTAACCTCCTTCATCGGGTGGCAGTGGTGGTGCCTAGGCACAAAGGTGGGTGGAGCAGCTGGGATCCCGGTGGCAGCCACTGCACTTGGCTTCTGCAGTTGCAAATTTCTTACTTCTGCACACTGCAGCCTGTGTGCCCGGCCACGCCCACTTCGGCTTCACAGCCCGGGGTTCTTTTTCGGGCTTCACACACATACACACACAGCAACTGGGGAACTGATTGTTCAGATAAGTGGGCCCACGACTTGACTATGCCTTTGGTACTTGCCATTACAATACCCGTATTGACTCAACTCCCCAGCGCAAATATGTTAATTGCACCAGCGCTAAACAGAAGCCCCAAATGGTAGGGGAGTTTCGGTTTCAGGGAGGTGTATCTGATTGTCAGAGTTCAAGTTGCAATTGAAATAAATGTTCCAAAAGCGTTAATTGCTTCATTAACAAGCAAATTACCATACAAATGAAGGCATTGCCAAAATGATATGGAAACATATTGTTTTCCCTCTGTATCTCTAGGATTAAATGTTAGTTTATACTAATGTTTAAAGTTTAAGGTTAAAAAATTCTTCGTATTTTCTTTTCTCTTTTAACTTAAAAGTTCCATGGCCATAGAAATTTATTCAAAGAATTCCATAAATTTCAGCAAATTGAAATTAATTTAAAGACACAAAAAAGCGTTAATTGAACAACATTAGAGCGAACATTTGATTGCTTAATTTACATGAAAATTAACTAAACCAGACGTTGGGTGAGAGGCGAAATCACATAGCAACCGGAATACCAGAGGAAAATACCAAACTAGAGCCAGAAATAATGGGTCAGGTCCCAGGAGCAGGAGACATCCCTTCAGCTGAGAGGACAGCGAGTTCATAAAGATGCAGACCATTAAGACGTTTTAATTCTTGATTTTACACCCTCGTCGCGGGGATTTTTTTGGGTCCAAGGAGTCCAAGAATACGGTCGTGGCTCATGACCCACGAGGGCTGTCAATTTCTGGAGTTTATACCCCTCGTCCGTTGTCGTTTTATTTTTAATTTCGTCTGAGCGAGTCTTTTTTATGCCGTCGAGGCTCATTAGATTTGCAAAATGTTTCGCCTCTATCCGCCGGCGAATGGTGGTCGTTAATGTTATTAGGTTCTTGGTCTCTGAACCCCTCGAACTGGCCAAATGCAATTGGATTAATAAATGCCATTAGGCATTGCAAGTGTTTTATTTTTATTCCATTTTTTGGGAGGGATAATTTGTATTTATGCTGTCATTTTATGCCACATTTAAGTCGAGTTATGGTCGAGGCACAAAAAGTATACAAAGTGAAATATTTTGGGTAGAAATTGGAAAGGGAATTATTATGGAGTGATCCAAAAATCCTTGGGAGAAGAAATAGTATTTCTGACTTAAAACCTTGCCTTGTATTTCTGAAAAATCTTTAATTTCTTGAAACGAAAAACTAAGGGAAATTCATAATTTATCTTTAATTTTATACCACATTACTTTCGCATTATATTCGGATAAAAAAAAAAAAAGTTGTATGGGAAAGAGGATATGGCAAGGGAAATGGAAATGAGACAAATGTCAACAATCGCTCGGATATTTTGGGCATTTGACGGGGTGGCTTTGTGGGTGTGACCCCGTCACTTGGCAAACACATTTTCCAACAGCAATTAGACCAGCGCGTTTTTTATTTTAATACAAATGAAGTGAAATTAAAAGGCAACTGTTGACAAAGGCCGCAGAATCACATGTGGTTACGGTAGAAGAAGAGTAACTCCACCGACGAGGTCGACGGTCATCATCAAAGCAGGCGCACGTGTCTGGGCGGTCACCTTAGTCCAGCGGCAAATGCTTTTGACACCTTTCAAGCGAGCGAGTGTGAAAAAAGCCCTGTATAAAAGGCCACAAAGCCGGACAATTGCAGAGGTCGTTGTGGTCGGGGTCATTCGGCCCCCAAATAACCCTTGGCTGACACCACCAACACCCCAAGTTCATAATAATCAAAAATCTCTGGTCAGTTGCTAATGAGTGAGTTCAACAGGAGCTCAATGAACTCGAAATGTGAAGAACTTCGGAGTAACGTAACTTAGAAGCATCTTATTAACTTCCAGACTGACACCTTTTGTCATCTCAAGATGTCAGTTCTTTTGGTCAAGGAAGCGAAGTAAAAGTTTACAGACAATAAACATGTGAAATGATGGAGGCATCCGAAACTCTAAACACTTTTCCTCAACAAAATCACCTTAAATAACTCACATCGTGCATTTAATAAGTATAAGCTAATTATTTGTTAATCAACACTTACTACACATATCAGACAATAACCAGATTTAGGCATTTCCCCAGGGAATACGTCTTTCCAAAATTCCAGTCGTCAGAAATTCCGCCGACGCTCAAGTAAATTGAATTCTTTTCGGCATACGAAGCTAAACGAATTAAAAGTGTTCGGCAGAATTTCTCCTCATATATATAGATATATAAGTATAGGCAACGACCACGCCCACAGGAGGTGGAAAAAATAATTAAATGATAAACTAATCTACACCCAAGCCTTTAATAATAAGGCCCCAAAGAGGAGGGAACGAGACAGGCCAGAAACTGATAGAGTTAGAGATATTAGTCTCTG